GTAGCTGTTCTCATGTCCCTTCCCTCACCCGTCCCTCTGTGCTGTCTCTCTGATCAGGCCGAATACAGGGAGCCCTGCGCTCAGTGTGCTGCTGTGGACTGGGGCATCTCAGATGAGGGACGCTTCTACTGCAGATCCTGTCACAACATTATCGAGGTAAAGGACAAAATGAATACAACATACTTTCAAGGTCAAACCTTCCTCTTTACTCTCTACTGTTGAATTATTCTCAGTGTTGCAGCTTCTACACAATGCAGTACCTCATCCATCCTGTAGGTGTCACTGTTTTTCTTCCAAAGTGTCTCATGGTGTTGTTTTGTCTAAATTTCCCCAGAGAACCAAAGAGGTTGTGGACACTTCCTTCGTTGGTGACTTTAACAGAATCTCCTGGATCTCCAGTAAATCCAGAGCTAAGAAGGCGGGTCAGTATTTCACCCTGACATCTTGGACTCTTTATCCTGTGGAGCCAAAACCTCTGAAGCTTATTTCTGTCTCAGTGAGATGTTTTGATAAGCTGTTGTTCCTCAGAGCGCTGCAGGGTGTTGATGGTGTGTGAAGTTTTCCAGTTGATCCTGAAGAAGCAGGCCGAGGCTCTGCTCAGACTGGGCGTCAGTCCGCACTTCAAGGTCCGCTCTCCTCGTTCCCGCCAATCCGACGTCGGCAGCCGCCGACGCTCGTCTGATCTTTCTCCCGTTTTTCCGCTTGTTTCAGGACGAAGTTCTGTGTCAGATGTGGAGGCTTTACCTGCAGAAGAGCCGGCAGGCGTACACAGACAACCCGGTCAACAGTTTCAGGTTCAGAAGGGTCAGTTTGCCTTTTATTAACTATTATTGCTATTTATAAGATGTTTTTATCCAGGATTTCAAATAATTATTCCATATTTAATTCTTTATTCAAATTCAACACTGCAAAAATGACCTCAAAATGAGTAAAAATGTCTTAAATTAAGAGTATTTACCCTTAATTTGAGCAGGTAAATAAGATGATTTGCCAATAGAATGAGTATTTTTACTTTTTAAATAAGGTACCTAGATAAAATGCACTTGAAATAAGACAATGCAATTGTTTTTTTCTTATTTTAAGTGTAAATTGTCTTGTTCTATTGGCAAAGTGTCTCACTTAAATACTTAATTCAAGAAAAAATGACTTATTTAGATTTATTTTTTTTATTTATCTCCAAAAAAAGGCGCTTTAGTCTGCAGCAACATGGCAATTAATCCAGGAAAAATGATGCAGTATTTAAATAATCTCATTTTAACACTGTTGAAACTCAGATATAAAAAAACATAACAAAATATAATAGCAATATTATAAATAATAGTTTATATCTTTAAATCATATTGTTTTTTTCTATATTTTAGTTTACTCTGTTTTTCTAAAACTTCTAATTTCGAGTAACACATTTATATTTAACACATTTTCTACGTTTTATGATTGTTGTGCATATATCCTAAAAAAATGTCAAATATTTTTAATTATTTACCGCTTTAGTTCAGTAATTTTATAACTAAAAAATAATAAATAATGAGGTCGTTTTTGCAGTGTTGAATTTGAATAAAGAATTAAATATGGAAGAATTATGTGAAACCCTGGATAAAAACATCTTATAAATAGCAATAATATAGTTAAGAAGAAAAAAATCCGAAAACGGAGCACTTAAAAGCTTTAAAATTAACTTCTTTATGGCATCAAAGGCGCCACAGCTACCTCTAGTGGTGAAAACATGAACTAAAATTACTACCACTACTGTTACTATGTTTTTGGTTCCAACAGAAAGATAAATCATATCATTTATGATAAAGCTTTTTCTTCTAAAAATATGAATTAGTTTCTTGTTAGATTATTAAAGGAAATTTGAAACAGATTCATTAAAGCCAAATATTCCTTTTCCCCGTCAGGAAGGGCAGGACTCGGACTCGGACAGCGCTTCAGATTTCCCGCTGTCGGGGAGCTCCTTGGACAGCAGGTCCGGTCTGTCTGACTCAGCTGACTCAGCTGACTCTAATACAGGTACGGACCTCAGAACCAGGCGTCCAATCCATCAACCTGCTTCTCCTCCTTCACTGCAGAGCTGTTATAAATAATGAGGCTCAGAATGCATTTATGGCGTCGTGATTCGAACCCGGGTCTGCCGCATTGAGGACTAAGGCCTCCGTACAGAGGTTGTGCACGCTAACCACTGCTCCAACTGCACGCCCAAACCCCTCAGCTTTTAAACCATAACGCTTTAAAAGCTATCTCTATAGTTCTGCTGCTATAGGCTTAGACTGCTGGAGGACATAGGGACCCCTTTTTCATCAT